CACGCATTTGTTGCCCACTAAGACGAAGTGTAAGTAGTTTCTGAGGTAAACCTCATTCAGAAGTGGCATAAATTAGTGGTTTCAATTAGCGTTCAAGTTTGTTCCTTTAATTTCAATATAAGCATTCAGGACGTCAAAATTAATGGTAGACATTTTCAATTAGTAGAAAAAATTAGCAAACTTTTAACTTTTCCATTAATACTTCAAAAGTTGGGAGAAATGTCATTTTGGCCTTTGATTATTTTCTGTCAAGAGAAATTGTGGTTAGAAACCAAAAGTTGATTGTTTCATATAAGCTAAATATTAGGATTTCTCTATGAATGCAACTGACTAACGCAAGCTGTTGCTAGGATATTCTATTAATTTTAACTGTGTTTTTTAAACATTGCTAATGATCGTAAACTAAAAAGTATAACGTGTAATTGAAACTACTAATTTATTCCACTAATTGCGAGGTTCTGAATGAAGCTGTACAGTCGGCGTCCATTCTTAGTTAGATGCCACAACTATTTAAAGATACACTTCTAGTTGTTTTATTGGTTCCCTAGGTATTTAACTATACCACACAATTACGTTGCGCCAGATTTAATGGACGTATAAAAACTGTCCAGAAACCATAAAAGAGAATTATTACTATGACAAGAGAAACTAAATGGGAGCATTAAAAGAAACCAGACAAGTTTACAGTCTTAGCTTCTTTAATTACGTGTAATGAATAAAATTAGAATGTGGCTATAACGAGTGTAGTAATTCTCAATGAATTCTCAAATGTTAGTAATATATCTAGAATTTCAATTTAATTATTTCAATAGTAGGCAAATATTGCAACAAAATAAATACCTAGTATCTGAATTTCTTAATAATAAATTTAATAATCAAGTTTAAATCATAGATATACAGGGTGCGTCTTAAATACGTGCAAATATTTTCAGAAGTGTTAGATCTCCATAAAAGAAACATATTTTCTCTTTACCGTTTTTCAAATAAATCCCAAATAACGGAGTTATTTTACTTTAAACATTTCCAAAAAAAATATTTTTTGCTAAAATTTTGAGAACCACTGGATCTTTTCTGATTTTTCTTTATTGTAAATTTAATCTACCACCTATGTTGCCATATTATCAACAAATTATGTTTCTTGCCACTAAAAAAATTGCCAGATTTTTTTTTAAAAAATTCCAAATTTTCAAAAAAAAAATTCGCGAAAAAAAAACTCATGATCGTGTTTCTGAGGTCGAAATATATGACCCCTAAAAATATTTGCACTTATTTAAGACTCGTCCTGTATAACAGAAAAAACAGTATCCATAAGTTGGCTTGGAAATGATAATAACATTCCCAATATAATTTTACATAATATATAAAATGAAAGCGAATATAATATAAATAAAAATATCAAGAAAATTTTAGTAATTCGGTTTAAAGTTATACTTAAAAGAAGAGCAAATTCAAACAGAGAATGTTATTTAATAGGGAATTAATATTTCTCTAACACTACAACTCAAAATATCTCGTGACTGATTTGATTAATATGTTGATTTATAAATATAAAAACAGAATTCTCTACTTTAATACGTTCAAATGAGACATAGTGCGTGCTAATGAGACGAAAATAGGTATCTTTCAAAACACGTATAAAATATTTTGTAGAAAGAAAATAAAAAATGTTACACATAATTTAGACAATAAACTTGTGTCATTTTAGTTTAAAACTGCAAACGACTTCGCCATCAAAAAATACCCCAATCTATTTCTTTACCTATCCCCCAATCTATTTTTAATTACATAGGTATAAAATAATTTTAACAATAAACTTAGACGTTTTAATATACGTTTTTATAATACGTAATATACGCTATTATTAATACGTTTTAATATAATAAATGTTTTAATTTTACTAAAAAATAGCTCAGGTTTGCATAACCGGTAAGATTCTACCGTATGATCGAATAAAAACGGCGTCAACGATGGCTATGAAATGAAGATCGCTGTCATTTTATATGTAAAATTATATGGGAAATGTCATCGATCGTCATTTCCAAGCCATCTAGACGCCGTTTTTTTTTCGATCATACGGTAGCTGTAACAATAAGTGAAAATGAGATCAGTTGCAATCAAAATGGGCCACTCTGTACATCAAACACTATTAACTTCTGAACTAAAGCAAATTAGTACAATTTTGTAAATACTTCTCTGGTACAGCTTATAAATTTCACGCAGATAGTACGAAGTCTGTCCAACAATTCAAGAAAGATTTTGACAGACGAAATCCCAAAAAAGAATTGGTCAAGTGCGAGTCGGACTCGCGCACGAAGGGTTCCGTACCATTCATTATCTATACAACATTAGACACTATATTATTATGAACTTTTTTTCCGATTTAGCTGAAATTTTGAATGCGCGTATAAGTAATTAAAAAATGAAGAAAAACATTACTAAAAATTGTATTAATCAATAATAAATATGTAAAAAGTAAAAATAAATATGTAAAAATAGGTAAAAATTAATAATAAAAACGATTAAAAAAAAGTCGCCTTGACTAGGATTCGAACCTGCCTTACTACGGCTCCAACGTCATAGCAGCGTAAAGTCCTAACGCTTTAACCACGCGGCTACCGAGGACTTGAAAGATTCTATGTAAAATTCTTACTTAAAAGATAATGTTTAGTGAAAGTACCTTTTTATTTATAAACATTTATTTAATTCTGTTTTTAGTATTTGTTCTTATAGCGGCAACATAGATACATTATCTGGAAAAATTTCAACTGTCTAGCTATAACGGTTCATAAGATAGACCTTTGTGACAGACGGACGGACGGACAGCGAAGTCTTAGTAATAGGGTTCCCGTTATTACCCTTTGGGTACGGAACCCTAAAAATGACAGCAAATAAAATTTACCTGTGAACTAAAAATGACAGACAAGAACTATCATAGTCAAGTATCCACTAGTTGGACAGACTTTAGTTTCTATTTCAAATATTTTAAAACCAAAGGATAATTATTTTTTATAAGCTTAAAAAATCTATTTTACACAACATATGAACTGAATTTTGATCTTTATTAATGTAAATAGTGTATAAAATAGAATTTTTGTGCATATGAGATGTCTACTAAGTAAAAATAAAAACGCGTTTTAAATACTAGTTTTTTTTTTCTACGAACATAAATAGAAGTATTTTTTTATGTTTTAATTTTAAAGCATAGTCTCAGTGTCTATATGATTGGTGTTAAAAGTAACTTTTAAAACTTGTGTTATAACTAATTTACAACCGTAGAAAAATGTTCAAAAATTTATAGTTTCTTCGATTTACGTTGATGTCGTTGACCGAAATTTATATGAAAGATAACCTCGATAATATCAACCTATTTACTAGACAGCCAGTCGACTTCGCTAGTTTCTCAGTACCCGCGCTTTACCTGCCGCACCTGTTGTACGCATGCCAGCAGTCGCGATAGTTCTTATAAACTGAGCTTCAATGGAGCTGAGAGTTCGACTTGTTACATAAGATAAACGAGAATCTAGGTAGGTACGCAAAGTTCTATGTAAATCAGGTGGATGACACTTCTTATGGGGGAACTGGCAATGGTTCAAAACTTGACTACAAGCGGTTTTCTAGGAATTTTCCTTACCGATAAATTATTGACAAGAGTGACAGATAAAACCTTGACGTTCTTTCAGTATTACAGTTCATCTCTTTTTCTTTCTAAAGTGTGCGTTGAAAGGCGACAAAAACAATTTTTGGTGACCCATAATTTGTTATTCGAACACCACTTTTCCCCTTGTCGGGTCGTTGACGTTGAATTGTCGCCATTTTATTTCTTTTGTTTACACGCTGCAGTTTGCTTTGCAAATTTAATACATAACTTATTTAGGCAAATATAGGTTTTTGATAAAACTCCTCGGACTAACGTGTAGGCAAAAGTGTTGATAAATAATTTTTTTTCATCTTAACATGCTCATTGTCATTCTCCTGATTTAGGTGACAGAAAAGGATCATCAAATCAAATTGAATTTTATATTTTTTCATCCCAGGACCGATAGTAAAATATATATTTTATGGATACCTTCCTAAATATCAACGAGATGAGCCATCGGAAGAAAGGGACCATTGTACAAAACAGAAAGGTGATCTTTTTTCGTTCACATATTGAAATTATTATATACTGTAGTCGTGTTCGGCATTATGCTCTGAGAAATATAGATAAACAAAGAACAACAGATATAAAGCATCCCAGAGGAAAAGAGAGGCAATACCTGTACTCTCTCTGATATTTGTGAAAGTTACGGCAAAGTATTGTTGTAAATGTCATCTTTTTGATCGACCTGAAAACTTCGAGCAAAAAGATGACACTTTCAACAATACCCTGACAGATATCAGAGACGATACAGGTTTTTCCTCTCTTTTCCCCTGAAATACTTTTAATTTATTATTCTTTGTTTATCTAGATTTCTCAGAGCACTATGAACTCAGCTTGTATGTTTGAAATAATCGTCCAGTTGGCTTAAAAATGATTATATATATCTTCATTTCTAAGCCATCTATGACGCCATTTTGTTTTGTTATAATTAATTTTGTCTCTTGATCTACTTGTAACATTATTCTTTTAATTTTATTAATTTAATGTGGTGAAATTAATTTCTGTTGTATATTTGAGATTGATATTAAACATATTTTAAAAAATGGTGTATTTTTTGTGTTTTTATGTATGTTATAATTAAAAATAAATGAAGAATTAATTTTTTTTATTTTTTTGAACTTCCCGCCACGCGTGACGGCCTAGTCCGTAGTTCCTACAAGCGATATTGGGGGCGCTAGTAGCAGTAGACTTGTCAACAGTGTCAAATTTAAACGTCAATTTCACTTTCCAATATTTAGCAAGACGCTCGCACTTCTTCTTGTGTATGTGTCTTGTGATGTAAATGATAGCATGAGAGCAAGTCATGAACATGCCAAAACTTTAAAAAGTTATTAAACTATTCTATTGTTATCACACCTACCTTCCGATTTTCATCTTCGCTCAGTGCCTTAGAGTCTGATTTATCGTCAATACTAGGTCCACTATAACAAAAAAAAAAGAAAATTAACTTAAGCTGAGCAATTCAAATTCTTTTTTTTTTAAATTTTAATCGGGCATACAAGGTCAGGCAATAGTGCGTCGGGCATCTGTAGCCCCTAGAAAAAAAACATAAGAATTCTGTTTAAGTGCAAACCTAAAGTATGTACGAGGATATATTTCAAGAAAATATTTTAACTTCTATAGGGTGGCTCAAAAAACTGTGAGTGGATTGGGATGATTTTTTTAAATAAACCCCCTGTATATTAATGTATTTTTGGCTTCCTTTCACATCACTTCTAACATAAGAAATTTGATTTAGATGTCAATATGACTCCTGCCTGCAGGGGGCCTACAAGTAATTTAACTGATTTAAACAGTAATAAGTTTTTGTCCGTACTCGTTTAAAGCTAATGAGTGAACAAATGATATATTTTTTAAGGCAAAAAATGTATCTTAGTATAAATCGCCAAGAGCAACTGTTCTCAAAATATTTGGAATGGAAATAGTCAATACATTTCATTATTGACGAAAAATAAATATGTTAAATAGATGGTTATTTGAATGAAATGATAAATTTGGAAACTTTAGTTCTTTATATTAATCATAATTTTGTCTAGGCAAAATTATGATAATGCAGTTTCAGTTGACCATTTATCACAAAAACAATTTAAATTAATTTTTTCAGTCTAATAACTAGGTATCTAGTAAAAATGTTTAATTTTTGCCAATGAATTGTGTCAATGATGACATGTCAATTGCCTGTTCCACAAATATCTTATTTTTACCAAGAGACCTTTTTTACGTAAAATTCTTAAAAAATGATTACTCTTCAAAACATTTAAAGAACACCCTATAGAAGTAGGAGTCATACTGGCATCGAAATTGAATACAAAAGCCAAAGCAATAAGACTCTAAGTCTCGGTCTCAACAAAATAAAAAAAAAACTTGACTCAGTCCCAATAAATGTTGAGACATAAATGTTGAGTCCGAGACTTATTGCTTTAGCTTTTGTATTTATAAACCAGGTCTCTTTGGGATTAATGGGCGTCTTTTTTAAATCGAAATTGAATTTCTCATCATTTTCACCTCAATTATTTTTATCTGTAGAATGTTTCCGAAGTTTTCCGATTACAATTTGGACCGCCCTGTATATTACAAGAATAAAGTATAAAGTAAATTTTTGTTTTCCACCTATTTTGGATATCTGATTCAGTTTCTGACAAATTGTCCATCAGAAAATTAATCAATTTTAACTTGGTTTTACGTATCTCATAAAACAGCCAGAAAGAATGATAAATTACTGTTTAATTCAGTCGAAACGTTTAAAATTCCGTGTACCAAAACCAACAGGTGAATAAAATATAAAAGCTAAAAATACCCTCATCATCAATATCCGCGCTGTCTGACATGAAATCCAAAGACCCTGACAAAAATTAACGCGTTGTATAAAAATTAGATTTTTGCAAAACACAAAAACAAGATGACAGTCGATTTCGGCAACAAAATCATATATCAACGCGATAGCATAGAAACAAAATAAAGATGTTTAGGAAAAAAATTGTCGGATTTTTATTTTTTTAAATAGTTTCGGGTATCAAGTAAGATACATTTTTGTCGTCGCCTATAACTTATACCGGGTGATTTTCAAAAATAGCCCACCTCTACAACTTTTTTATTTTTGCTGATAAAAAAACTATCTTTGGTATGTTAGTATATAATATAAATGATGATTGTGTGTGATTGATGAATTCATTTAGTTTCATTCACTTATTGTTTTCTCAAATACGACTACAACTTTTGATTTTTAAAAAAAATCCCGAAGTAGTGGTATCTTCGGGATTTTTTTTCTCAGTGCTGGGTGCCAGGCCACAGCAATGTGGTGGGCAATCAGGAAGCAGACAGACTCGCCAAAGACAGGGCCAGGGGAGAGGCCGTGGCAGATGATCCACCACTTGTGACGATCAACACACTGAAGGAAGCTATAGGAACAGCCATCAAAGCCAAGCAGCAAGAGACGTGGCAACACCGTGAAGTGTAGATAGCAAAAAGACAAAATAATTACTAGAGCACAAGAAGGACCTAGTACGCATAATTGTAGGTGTCGTCACTGGAAACCGTCCCACGGGGGTAAACCTCGTGAGATGGAAAGTTTCCGACGACGACTACTGCAGAGAATGCGGAGAGGAAGAAGAAACCATAGAACACCTGCTGTGCCACTGTCCGGCACTGGAATACCGACGCTTTAAAACTTTAGGGCAAGGTTTTTTGGAGGGACTAGAAGCAGCAGAAGCCAACATCAGCGACATTGGGAACTTTGCAAAGAGCTGGAAGTGCTTTAATGCAAAGAAAGAATGAGGTACGTGAAAGGTTTGGTACAACAATACAGGGGTATCACAATAGGCCCAAGGCCTCCGAGTGAGGGATTAAACATGATCCCAAACCCCAGCAACCTAACCTAACCTAACCTACCACGGCATTTTTAACCCTTTTTTGATAGAAAATGACATTCTGAATAGTATTTAATATATGCAACTGACATTCTGGCCTAATTTGATGGCATTAGACCATCAAATCTATTTTTCAAAGGCTTGATTAAGAATGAAAGGTTTTAACACATCCCTGGCACTCTGGATTGAAATTTAAAATGCTTTTTTTTAAACTGATAATGTCAAAAGTCGACATAGGATATGTCATTCTATTCAGAATGTTATTTTCTATGAAATTAAGTTAAAAAATCATTTAAAAAGCAAAAATGATAGTAATTTCCGGTGAAACAGGAAGTGCCCGAGATTAATTGAATACGTCAATCAATCCGAATTTGATGAAAGAATAAAAGATTAATTGATCTGAAAGTTAGAGTAATAGAGGACATATTATTTATTTTCTGAAGATTAAAAAAGAAATTATCAAAGAAAAAAGGTTTTAAGAAATGAATTTTACGTCCATATGCCAAATTTCAAAAATATACCACGACTTAACATTAGAAAAAGTGTTGTTGACAAAATATTGAAAAATGTCAAAGAGAAAATATTATTTAATTAAGAATTTATGTTGAATTCCGTTGAATTCAAAAATTCTACGGCTATGTGAAAAGTTTCCTAAATATATAAGGATTTTTATGTCTAATGCTCATTATAACTTATGAGCTATTGTTGTGTTAAGCTTGATTTTCATGCATCCGTTATACGTTGATACGTTGGTCCGACGGTGCTCTGATTGGTCATAGCGTTTTCGCGCCACTTTTCAACCGTAAATATTTTACTGCAGCCCGCCAACGGACCCGTTCATACGATAACGGACGTTTTGACACTTTTTTGACAAATTTAATCTAACCTTAATAAAAATATAAGTAAAATAGCAAAATCGTTATGGAAACGAAAATATAAAACGACACCAACGTATATCCGATAAACGGAGGCATGAAAATGCAATATATTTAAAAACTGCGTTATTTTCTAACCACTCAAAGTCTTTAAATTCTACTAATAAAATTAATATCGTATCAACGTATCGTGTTTTGGTGTATTGTGGTGATTTAATGTTTTATTTAGTTTTGTTTTAATGAAATACTATTTTTTTAAATTCTATTTTAAAATATATTTTACATAACCATGTTAGATAAAATTTTATTTATTATTAAATCGATTAAAAGATATTTTATTAAACACATCTGACATAATTATATCATATGATATGGTTGATGTATCATTACAATTTATTCATTGAAAATTAGAAAGTGAAAAACAAAAAAAAAACTATTAAAAAATTAATGTTTTATATAAAAATAAATAAGTCTAACTTGGAAAAAACGATTAAATAAATAATGATTTAAAATAAAATATAATTTGAAACAAAAATAAACTGAAAATAATAAATTTTTTATATTTAATTAGAAAAAACAACTAAATTATTGATAAAAAATACGTAAATTAAGTTATAAACCTTTTCTGTAATATGAAATTTGTAAAAACTAGGCTATACATTATTCAATGATAACTATTTCTTACTTTGAATATGTATTGCGACCGGAAGAAATACTTTTTTGATCACCAAATGTCGATGTCGACACACTCATCGTTTATCGACTAAAATATTTTTGCAGCTCCAGTAATCAAACGCCCCTATAAAATGTACGAATTGATAATACATTCGTTCCCACACATTCATTTTCAAAGATAACGCAGGATTAGAAGAAATAAGATGATAAGAACGATGAGAAAACAATATTTTTGCCAAAAATACCTATATATTTTTAATGCAAGAATGTAAAATACGTAAGGTCAAATAGTTTTATTGTGTTGTATACAAGGTGACAATTTTTAACTGTCACATAATAATGAATAAAGGTCGAATATTCATTTTTACTATCACAAAATTTGTGTGTAAAAACAAAATAATTATATGACATAATTATTTTACTATTAAAATCTAGTGATGGGTTGTTATTTAACTATCTGTTATTTTATAACAATTATTTATAAATAACATAACGCAACCGTTACTACTTCTAAAAAATAACAGATATAAAATAACGACACGTAGAGATCGGCCGCTCGTGAAACAAAAAACGAAGTCGGCGCTCTGCATCACCACGAAATTCTATGCTGCTCGAAGCAATTCCAAAAAACAACTAGTATGGATGGAAAACATGTTATTTCGTCAACCATCGATACAGGCGGCGAGACAACGGACAACGGAGTAGGCAAAGCGCTACGGCGAACGTAGCTGCTTCGGTCGATACCGTCGATGGTCGTATTTACAACAGCTTAAAAATAATAGGATATAAAAGAAGCAGGTTTTTTGAAACAGTTGCGGGCATAACGCCTGGCGGTGGAGATAACAGGAGTGGGAAAGGAACGCTGCTGCATCGGTCGATTGTCGATGGAGGCTCGCAACGAGTTGGAGAAGCAGTCATTTTAGATATGTTGTTTTTCAACCTGTTACGAGCATAACAGGGCGGCGGTCGAGATAATCGGTGTGGGAAAGGAACGCTGCTGCATCGGTCGATTGTCGATGGAGGTTCGAAACAGGTTGGGGAATAACGCCATCAGTTGTTTTAGATACATTCTGTTTCAACCTGTTACGAGCATAACGGACGGAGATCGAGATATTATGGCGCTGTATGTTTCAGTACTTACTTATTAAGTTTCAATATTTAGGTATTTATTTATTCTGAAAAATTTTCAGAATAATATTTTAAGATTTTTTTAAAAATGTATACAGGGTGTTTTGAAAAATCTGGTCATTGATTAATCACGATCCTGCTTAAAGCCCTTGACGTAAAAAGCTGATTTTTGGAAAACGGATTGACTTTAGTGTGTAGAGGTTCGATAAGAAGGGATTTTTCGAAACTCGAATTCTAAGGGGGTGAAACTACTCTCAAATATTAGAATATTTTTTATTTAAAAACCGGTGAGTTTTTCAGAAAAACTCTTAAAACACGTATATTTTATTATGTTGTTTTACATATTTTAAGATTTTTTAAAAATATATACAGGGTGATTCATAAAATATGACCATTGAGTAATCACTATTCTGTTTAAACTGCTGGACGTTTAAAGCTGATTTTTTGCAAACGGATTGACTGTGCGGTTGAGGTTCGATAAGGAGGGGTTTCTCGAATCTCAAATTCCAACAGGGTGAAAACGCCCCTCAAATATTTCAATATTTGTTATTTAAAAAACGGTTAGTCTTTCGGGAAAACGCCTGGACACGCATAATTTATTTTGTTTTTTTTACATATTTTGAATTTTTTTAAAAAATCAAACAGGGTGTTCCAAAAAGTTGAGTAATTGATTAACCACGATTCTGCTTAAACTGCTCGACGTTAGAAAACTTATTTTTGGCAAATGTGAGAAAATTTTATCCAGTTTGTATGTTAATGGAAATTCTTGTTTTGCTTTATCATCACCATTAGAAATTATTAATTCGACGCGAACGAAGTCGCAGGTACACGCTAGTTTAAGTGAAAAATTAATTCGAACTCTAGTGTGTAGTTGGTTTAACTAAAATAGAAGAATATACTACACATTTTCTTATATTGCTATTTTTTGACCGCAAATGGTAAAATCATAACTAAGAGCTTCTCGCCCGTCGAGTGAGATGCACCCTGTACACTGCTACGCAATTCAGGATCTACGCGGATCGAGGGGCAGGGCGTAGGTAGATCGCAATGTGTAGGTATAGACGAGTGGCGGAATTTTGGCTTTTTATATCGCAATTTGTAAACAGCGCTTATTTGTAAACAACTACCGTTTTTAGAGAGGTATTTTAGATAACAATCGATATTTAGAAATGTTTTGACACCCTGGAAATACTACCACCGAGCACGTCATTGTTGCAAGTTGCAACTGCGTTAATACGCCTGGCGGTGACCGTCTCATACTCTTTCAGATATTTAGCAATAAAATAAAGAAACCTGTTATTTTTAAGCTGTTATTTTAAGCTGTTTTTTATAAATAACTATAACAGTTTCAACTGTTATCTAAAAATAACAGTTTTGCCCATCACTATTAAAATCATTTTAGTCTGTCCAACGAGAGTATTCATGCCAGTGACAGTTGAGTCTGTCATTTTATTTCACAAGTAAATTATATTTTTTATCTTTTTTTAGGAGTGTTTTTCAGGTCTTAAATAAGTGCAAATATTTTAGGGGGTTTTGACCCCATGGGGTTTGACTATGAGGTGATTTCGTGAAAAAAATTGTGTTTTTTTGTTAAATTTTTAAATATTTAGTTAAAAATTATAATATCTTGATAAAATTACAACTTAAAGTAGGGGGAGTAGATTAAATTTAGAGAAAAGACAAAAAAGAACAAAAAAAATCTTATTCCCAAAATTTAATAAAAAAAATGTATATTTTTTTCAAAATGTTAAGTAAAATACCTTTGAAAAACGCCAAAAAGAATATATTTCTTTTATCGAGATTTACAAGCACTAAAAATATTTTCACTTATTTGTTAAAAATATTTGCAGTTATACTCACCCTGTATATCAGACAACTGCCAACTTTGGCAAACTGATTTTGAAGGAGATATTATTATACCGGGTGCACCTTAAAAGTGGCTCGCTCCTATAACTTTTTTATTTTGTCAGATAAAATAACGATATTTGGTATGTTAGTATATGACATAAATTAAGATTGATTGATGTATTCAATTGTTTATGGTCACTTCCGATTTCATCGGAAATAACTACAACTTTTGATTTGTAAATGGCACCCTCGGTATTTTTTTGCTTTATTTGATAGAAAATGACACTCTGAATAGAATGACATGTCATATGTCGACTTTTGACATTTTCGCATTAAAAAAAATGTATTTTAAATTTCAATCTAGAGTGCCATGGCTGTGTTAAAAATACTAATTAGTAATTAAGGAGCCTTGAAAATATAGACTTGATCGTCTAATGTTTCTCGTGTCTTGCCCTGGCCGGTTAAAAGATGCCCAAATCGTATTTTTAATCATATCTTAATTTTCAAATGGAACGAGAGTGGCTCGTTAGCATATTTGGAAAAAGCATTTTTTAAGAATAATTTGGTACCACACACTTGATATTTCGAGTCAAATTGTCGTTATGAACCGCATATTACAATTTCAAATAAACCCTATGAGAAAATGTCAAAAATTGACATATGATATGTCATTCAGAGTTTCTATTGAATAAAGTAAAAAAAAACCGAAAGTGCCATTTAAAAATCAAAAGTTGTATTCATTTCCGGTAAAACAGGAAGTGACCAAAAACAATTGTTATTATTTACCTACAAGTCTATTTTTCCTTAATTATAAATTAGTGTTTTTAACACAGCCATGGCACTCTATATTGAAATTTAAAATACAATAAAAAACAATTGAATACGTCAATCAATTCTAATTTATGTCATATACTAACATCCCAAATTTCGTTTTTTTATCTGAAAAAATAAAAAAGTTATAAGGGTGAGCCACTTTTGAGACGCACCCGGTATAGGTACTTGCAGTTAAAAAATATCAGACATTTTTGATTTTAAAATTTTAGAGAGCTTTTGATAAGCATCAGATTTAGTTTAAAAAGAGCCATATTTCAAAAACTACTCTGCATGAATATAATTAATATGACGTTATGGTATTTTCAAAATTAAATAGAAAACTCACTGAACTAAAAAATATAGCATTACATTTTAAGATATAAAAGTTATAAAATATTTTTTGAAAATGTATGTAGCTTTGCCCGCATATCTTATAATAAAGACTGAGTGAAAATATCAAACCAAAAACTTATTATTTATTAGTTTCACTTCGAAAAGCAACCATTTGCCATCGAGAAAGGTCCGTTTACTTATAAAAGTAATATATAAAATCACACTTAACAGGACACATCCAAAAAATGGTCCAAAATACCATTTACTTTTATGTAAAATTATATGGGGAATGTCATCGATCATCATTTCCAAGCCAAATAAATGCCGTTTTTTCGATCATATGCTATAATTGTTTATTTTTGCTTTTTACATAAAATACAGATGTTTTAATCTATAAGTGTTTATTTTAGACGCGATATATTATTAAAAAAGAATCAATAAAAGTACAATGAACTCGCCAAACATGTAGTCTGAAGGTAGATTCTAATCTATAATTAGTATGTATTAATGAAATCATATTTAATGAATTAGTCAATCTTACACGATATAATTTTTTAAAAAAGATAATAAAAATTATCTGAAAAATTAAGTAAATAAAAATGGTAATTTTTTCACCTTCACTCTCAATAATTAAAAAAATCTATTTACCTGCTTCGAAGCCCATCGGAGCCCGATGATATAACTGAGTCCTGTCTTTGTTGTTCCCATTCTGATTTCGCTTCTTCTTGTACCTTCTGTTTCAATGCCAATACCCTTTTTCTTTCTTGCTCAATAACTTGCGAACCTATATTAAAAACACATACCTATACGGCTCTGGTCACTTTATTTCCGTGGTCTGTATTTTAATGCATATGACAGAGATAGTTGATACAAGCCGTTGACAGAGAGACAAAATAAAAAGCGGCATACAATGTTGCCGGTTCGTACGTGAAGTAACATATTAAACGAAGATAATATATCTAAGCTGTTTAATAATGCTTAATTTTGTTAGACAGTTGCTTGAAAGCTTGGAATAAAATATCGGCAGTCACCCTTTACAGAGAGTGTAGAAATAAATATTCTTTGGTTTGTTCTGATTAGTTCACAAATAGTGCTAGTACTGATATTTTAAGCTGTAAAGCTTCGTTCTAAAACAACGCGTCAGTGTCATGGGCTACACGCTATAGAACCAATAAAATATGTAATAAATTCTGTTCAATGTTGACTTTAGTTACTAAACTAACAACTATGATTGTTTGTTTTTGTAGTTTCGCCAGCGACACAACGTAATTCTGAGACCGAAGCTTAATAAGAATCTATTATAGCTGTAGTAAAATGAGTAACTAATTGTGGAAATTAATGATCCATCTCTAGATGCAACATTTTCGTAAACGTTTACTTATGCGGTTTGAAATGATGCAAAATCCGACAATACCGCATAGAAATGTACCAACCCAACTTTTTTCTCTTTTTAATACATTTGAAATTTCTTCAAGTTGTCTCCATCAATGTCTTACACGTTAAAATCCAGACCACGCTTCTATGGTGACAAATCTGTATATATCTTGCTTACCTTGTTGACATAGATGTAAATGTCTGTTTCTTTCAATTTCTTTGAGGCTTTCTATAGTTTTTCTACCCAATGATCCGTGACCCTCTTCAATGATAGGTGCGTCAGAAGTGACTTTACTTATTCTAACAATATCATCTTGACTGGGAAACTTTTTGGCTATAAAAAGAAAAGAACATTTAAAAAGAGAAAAAAAGTACTATTGTATACTAGTCGGAGTTATGATTTCTCCATTTATTTGATTTGGTAAAATTTTTGTATATAAAAAAGTTTTTACCGGAATTTTGAAAAATAATTATTTAAAAAAGTTGTCTTTTGTAATTTAACGCTAATATTTCAATATTTACTGTCCATTTTTGGATGTCGTCTGTTTAATCAAATTTTATATTTTCTCGCTAGATATAATATACTTTAAAAATCCACGCCATGAAATTGAAAAGTATATTTTACCCTTGTTTATATATTCTTAAAGTTGCTCAACCTCTCGACAAAATGTGCTGCCTCTGGTGAACAAATCGTGAAGCTTTAAAGGAATGAAACATGTGATTAGGGGCGGAGACAAAAATATCGATTATTTGCCGTATTTCCCTCAGAGTAATGTAATAATATAGCTCGGATTTTTGCGAACTACAATAGGGCTCAGCTGATTAAGAAATTTAAACAAAACTATTATTTCGTTGTTGATTTTGGATTGTTTTTGCTGTTATTTTAAGGATTCCAAATAATATAAAAAGATTTAAAACTCATACCTTGTAAGTAATTATCATGATACAAAGAAAACAAGGTATGATATTGCGAGGGTTGGTCACCACGTCACAGGTGATAAACGGCACTATTGGTCGGCAAGCTCCACGCGCCAATTTCAAATTTTCAGACAGATGACACATAATAAATGTGTATAAATGTGTCATAACTTTTCAAATGTCACGCTCAATGATTTTACATAACTTTAGGGGTTATGTCTTAATTCTTCCCTATTTTAGGTCTTTTTTTATTTGAACAATATGGATATATTTTTGTATGGCATATGACGGAATTTGTCGAGTATTTACAATGGTCGAATTGTATAATTACCAGCTTTTATAGCATATCTAATAGACAAAAAGTATCTGGTCGATTAGTAACCAATTGGCACAGTCCGAAAATTATCGATTTTTATTTTCTCTGTTTTTATTGGCCGCTTCAAAATTCAGAGCAACAAAAAATATTTTCTGTAGTAAAAGACTGTGAAATACGCCTCGCCATCTGGCGCTTTACATCCATAAACGTCTTAGGTTGAGCTACTTTAAAAATTCATATACAAGGATTTTACTTACCAACCACGTCATCTAAAATACATTTCTCTTGTAAAAGCTTCTCATTAAATGATTGTGACATGTTGTATTCTTGTTCTTTATGAATTTTATTATTAGCAACTATCAGTGAACAACTTAAGTCAGTTATTTTGTACAAAGGAGAATTGGACTGGTCGCTGTCAACGTCTTTCACTTTATCACTACTTTCGCTGTCACTTGACGCTTCTTCGTCGGACTCTTGGCTTGAGCATGATGAAAGTTCAGCTTCAATAATTTTTAACCTAGAAAAACAAAGATCGAAGTACTATTATTCAACTTTAGAGAAAAATAATTTTAATCAAATTAAAAAACAAAAAACAGACAATAGACTTTATTTTCTATTTTCTTATGAACAAATTTGAGCACAATTAAAGATCATCAGAAAATTATACTTCTGTAGATTCTAAACCACGAATTTTTTAATGTTAGTATCAATGAGAATCTCAAAGGTTAAAAAGAAAGATTTGTTAAAAACATCTTCTTCTTCTTACAGTGCCATACTCTATACAGAGAGTCGGCTACCTCTCGCATGTACTTCTGATGTGTGTCTTCAGTGTTTCACAAGTACATGGGACCTACAGTTTATCGCCGAATCCGAACGGCACTATTTGAGAGGCTGTACAAGGGAAATATACTCAAGGTGGTTTGCCATTGCCTTCCTTGAGGTAGCGGCTCGCTGGTCCCTCTATTTAGATAAATATTTTTATTTTGAAAATAAATAAAGTGACCGTGTTGGCTTAAGATCGAACCCAGTATCTCTCGCACCACAGATCGACCCAATACTGCTGAAGCTACGGCCGGGCACCAGCAAAAACTTCATTTGTTTATTAATATATAGAAAGTGACAAATACTTTGCGTATCTATAATAAATGTCATTTTTAGGTAATTTTCTAAAGCAATGGGAGTACAAGTAAAGCTTTATGAATGAGATCACACACGTTTAAATGCTCTATAATTGTTACTTACCTATTTCTAATTTCTTCTAATCTAACCATACATTCCATTTTCTGCTTTTGAATAGTTTTGTACTCATTAGAATGCGCCTTCGATGTCGCTTGTTTCTGATTATCCAAATCGTCAATATGTAATCTCAAATGATCAATTTTACTTGATAAATCCACAATTTCTCGTTGCAGTTCTTCTCGACTCGCTAACCAATCAGCTTCTTCTTCAAGATGATGAAATTCCAGATCCTCAAAATTCTTTCTTTCGTTATCTAGCTGTTCTTGGGCATGCAGATATTGTTCAAAAACCTGTTCATACTGAGAGCTAGTCTTATCTGAAATAAATTATTATAATATAAACAGTTTTCTAATTTTTGTTCATAAGTTTTTAAAATAATTTCATAAAAAATGTAATAATAAAAGTAGGATTTTTCAGATTTGTTATGTTATTATGAGTTATTGATACTATGGATGATAAAAGTAAAAAGAATCATTTCTTATCTTTGTTTGAAAAAGTGGTCATCTAAAGAACAGTGGCGCTGATAAGCAATAAGGGATTGAATCACGATCGAATTGAACTTAGCGGTTATAAAATGAAGTAAGTAAAAAAAGAATGGCAACGCGCGCCTTCAGAATTCGTATATTTATCTCTTTATTTTTAACATTGAATAAAAAGATTAAGGAAGGAGTATGCTATCTATGTATTCCTGCATAGTAGACGCAAGTGGGGATCAGTGACTGTTTGACAATTCATTTGACACATTTGAATATGATTTGACATTTTGTGGATTTATTTGTCTTTACTGAGCTTATTTTATGTTATTTGTTATTTATTCTACAGCTGGTAGTTGTTTAGAAGCAGTAAATCTAGAAAAAAAATTGTGTCAAAACATAAATTAATAGTGGCACTATTCCGATTTATCAAAAAAGACTGGGAGATAATTGGTTATGTAGCGTGCGGTAGATCTGGAAATAGTGAAATAACTTTTCACTAGTAAGTGACTAAATATTGTTACGGATTCCGTGGGTCCACTAATTTAAACTCACGATAAAATACTTAACGAATTTATTATCTCACTTTATACACACAATAACTAACTATTTATAAAATTCCTTCACCAAATTGTCCGATTTTCAATTTCCAAAGGCGGTATATTCAAACTTCAAACTGTCAACTGCCAAAGCGCGGGCCTTTATATACCCCCTGGCGAGTCTTTCTGGAACGTTCTAAAGAATCCTGTAATTTTCTTTTACTTTCTGGCGAATTCGCCGGGTTCCTCAATGCACGTTGCGGTTATGTAGCAGTAATGTAATATACATACAGCTGCATTTTCACTTTCATTTACCATTTAATTACTACTTTTCAAAGTAATTTAGATACGTCAATTTAACTTTTGTTAAATTTTAATTGGTTTTAATTTAAAACCTGTTTTAGTAGCGTATCTCTCTCTCTCTCTCTCGGATGTTTGTGTTATTTAACAACTATTATAACTTATCTATTTTTCACAACACTTTCAATAACCACCAACATTTATTGACAACGTAAAATAAAACAACAAATTATTGAGTCTGCCCTACATCATAATTTTACACGTTTTGAATAAAATTAGAACGGCACTGATCAACCGGAATTTAAGTCGGCCATTTTGGTGCCCATCGCGATCTAAGTTTTTTGATATGCTCCTTCGTTAATCTTTTTATTCAAAGATTTTAAATTATTTCCTGTTCTAAACATTTTTGGCGCTTCTTTCAAATGTAGAACCTTTGATACAGCAGCGTAATCTTAATTGTTCCTTCCTGGTTCCCTCTTTGATGACCTATTTTCAATACATGAATATACAGTCCTCCTTACCCCTACTCTCCATAATTGATACAGAAACAAATAAAGATTATATTATTATATCAATAAACAAAAATATATAAATTTTTAAATAAAAAAGTATGGTAAAATAAGCATACTAAACTAACTGATTTTTAACTGGCGCGGGAAACACGGTAACCGATACTAATCGTCTGTCCTCCTCACGCCCCAGTTTGGTCGCTATTTAAACGAGTGAAACAGGAGCTTAAAATTTTTCGGGATTAGACTATTAAGGTGCGTAGAAAGGGACACTTTGTTCAATTGTTCTAGTGTCTTTTATTCGTTCGGTCGTCTGAATCAAAAGTTCTGGAAGGTCATATTAGAGCGGGGCTGGTTTCCCGACAGTATTTCGTTTTGTTCAGTAAGATTTGTCTATTTACATTATTTGTCGGAGGGTATAAAGGCCGTTGCCTGTCATTTTAGTATAAAATAAATTGTTTTAGATAGTCATCTATGACAATCATCCCTTGTCAAGCTGGACAGACTAAAGTTAAACTACAAAACATTGAATATACTTACCAGTAGCCTTTATCATTTCTTCCACTTTAGCCATATTTTCCTGAGCTAATTTTAACTTTCTTTTGCATTCTTTTTGGTCTTCTTCCTGTTTTAACTGGCAATCCGTCATACTTTCTTCTATTCGTTGTGCTCTTTTCAGCAATTTTTGTTTCTTAGCTTCAAGTTTTTCCAATTCCAGTTGCTTTGACTTGAATTCGCCATTTATTAATGCTTTTTCTAATTCAATCTGCAAATAAATATAATAAGGTTAAAGAGAGTCAATCAACGTTTCAAAAAACATGTATACCTCTCTATGAAGTTCTTCTTCTTGTGTTTCAATTTCTGCCATTTGACGTTTAATTCTAGAAATCACTGTTAGAATATCTTTCTTTTCTTTCTTGAGATGCTCAATTTTTAGTTTGCTTTCCGGACTTTGAGCATTTGAATATCCTGAAACAGACTTCTGAATATAAAGGTTTAAAAATATTTAAAAATTACCTTTACTATAATCCTTCTGTGAAGTAAAACTATTTGTATCATTGGTATTATTCAAACTAACAGTGTCGTCGTCTATTTTACTGTTTGTCAGAGGTTTCTCGTTCTCTATAGATTTTCTGTTTCTTTCAACAAGCAAGTCATCTTCTAGGGGATATATAAACTTTGTCGGGGTATCTTTTCTAGGTTCCAGCTCAAGCAAATCAAAGTTTTCCTGCGTAATTTCTTTGGAATTGTGGAGATTCTGTTTTAAAACTTTTTCGGCTTCTTTCAAGAGTTTCCTTTCAGTTTCCAATATCGCAAACTTACTTTCTATGGATTCTACGTCATCTTTTAGATTACCGCTAGAAAATATTAAGACAAATAATGTAATTTACAAAATATAATAGCAATGAATTCATCTTTATAAATATACTGGGCAATCCAAATATATTTTCACAATTAAGTTGTAGTTTTTTTAGGGAAATCTTGCCTAGAATTTGTAATTTTGTAATATTTATAATATATTCCGAGTGATGTTTTGAAGCATGTATATTTATATACCTAGTCCCCAACAATAAGTAAAGTTAAAATTTGAAAAAGAAAATCTGATATAAATCTTCTTCAGAAGTGTGGGTTGCAGTATATGTATAACTTTGAAAAGTAAATGTAATAACTCATATTATAAATATTATTTACTCACCTATCCCGAGATGCAGTAACAAAAGTTTTAATCCTCGTTCTTGGACTTGAAGGATAAAATCCTCCACCACTATTCTGTATATAAACATTTTCATAAGGACTTGTACTCTCTGAGCCTTTCGTGTCGTCCCTACGCATTTCAACTACATTTTCGTATTGGATATTCTTCGTATCCGAGTTATTGTACATCACAGTAACGTTCTCGTAATTGTGATTGCTCTGCTTGAGCAGCTCATTATGTAAAACTTCTAAAGGGGATGGTGGTGGTGATGCAAATGGTGACGGAGGACCTAAGTGTCGTTTATCTCTCGGCAAGGAACCGTTTGTAATGATTCTAAAAGATATACATTAATTTTTAATGTAAAAATATTTAACATTTTATATTACCTGTTTGGAGTAGGTGGTTTACTTTTTTCAGTTTGTTGAGATTGTTTTTCATATTCGGCACACATGTTCAATATTTCTTCTAGCCTTTGTTTCTCTGCTCTCTCTGTTTCTTGTTCCTTTATTCGATCTCTTTGCGCCTAAAATTTTATTCAGTACATTATTATTATTATTATTGTAAATAATTTATTTTTAAAAAGTGTACAAACTTTTCTACACTTTTTTTATTAATTTCTATTAAAAATATGATAAAAAAAATGGTATCAAAAATAATGGTATATGTAATTTTAAATTATTAATATCTATACAATGTTCTTTATCAACAAAATGTTCAACAACGCAAGATTTATCCGGCATTCCATATTTTAACTGAGCTATATGTTCTTTAAATCTAGTTAATATTAATGATCTTTTATTTATTATCTTCTAGTTTGCCCAACATATTTCTGATTATAATCTTTACATGAAATTTCATAAATATATTTTTTTAAACTTTAGTTTCGGAGATATAAATTTAATCGGACCTTTAAAAAAATAATTTTTATTAAAAAACTATTTGAGAGAGAGTTTACCAAAAATGTTTTTTATACCTACTACTGGGTAAATTAATTTGTAGATATTGTATGACTTTTTTTGAAACTAGTTTCGGAGATATAAATTTAACCGAACCTTTTAAAAAAATAATTTTTATTCAGAAACTATTTGACACAGAGTTTACCAAAAATGTTTTTTATACCTACTACTGGGAATTTGTAGATATAGTATGACTTTTTTTGAAACTTTAATTCCGGAGATAAAAATTTAATTGGACTTTTTAAAAAAAATATTTTTTATTAAAAAACTATTTGACACAGAGTTTACCAAAAATTTTTTTATAACTACTAGGTACTGGGTAAATGGATTTGTACATATATTATGACTTTTTTTGAAACTTTAATTTCGGAAATACCTTTTTAGTGAAGGTGTTTTATCTTTAGGATTACCTAATAATTGTTGTAATTTATTTTTAGCAGTATACACAAGTTTATAATTGACATTCTTAAAAATTCTTTGTAAACCACGGGAAACTATCAAACTCCACTTGAAATGTCGAATTTTCAGCAATTGCAAAGTTATACCTACGTTTAAAGAGACCGTTCTGGCTGGGGATCGAACCCAGTACCTCTCCTCGTACAGCAGATCGATACACTACTGCTATAGTTACTGCCGGCCCCCATGACTTATTGACATGACATGATATAAACGAATATCTACATAGGTACGCAGATTTCCATACCAATGATTGACAGGCTGGTTACAAATGAACTGTACTACGGTAATACATTTTTATCGATTTTATAGTTTATAAAGCTTACCTAGCGAGAAAAGGACATTTTCGAAAACGGCATCCAAAAAATTACAGAGAAATAATCTATTTTTAAATTAAAATCACAAACCAACTGTCATTTCCAATATACAGGTTGACGCACCTCATTCGCCTCGGTTGATTATACGAAAACGGAAAGATGTAGAAACAAAATATTTTATGGGTATATGTGGGGAGGCAATGTGCACAATTTAAAATTATTTTGAAATATACAGGGTGTTTCAGAACTGAGATCCATAGCAAAGTTATATTTTTTCTTATGGAACACCCGGTATTTTATTTCATTTTTGGATTCTTGGGCCCAAAAAAGGCAGTTATTATAAGGGTTAAATATGTTTAAAATCTTTGATTTTTGAGATATTTAAAGATATTTAAATTTGCATGCTACTATAGAATAGATTATTAACACCCTGTACATTACTTTTCAAAATTAATTCTTGTGCTGAGTTTAAAGGTAAAGAAATAAACTTTACTGGAAAATGTAATTACTTCATTAAATTTATACAGGGCTATCAAAAATTGCTGATCTATTTTAAGGATTTACTTTATGTAAAAACTTCGTTATTTCAAATGCAACACCCTGTATTTTTTTTAAATAATCCGAAACAGATTCAAATGCTCTTTCAAAGTGTATTAGGGTTTCCTATACCTATCTAGCTGAGATTTTGAATAAAAAGCGATTTTAAATAAAATTGCAATCGAGATGGCTACTTTCTAATAGCCATGGCAACTTTCTAGTGACAGTTAGTAACTATTTTCAAAGTCGAGATTACTTTATGGACATTATTATTTATAATTTACAACAGTTTACTTAGATTTACCTATAATAGTTTAATAAATAAGTATTCATTATTTTATCAAGAAAAATAAAGCAATATCTGCTGGCGGAACGAATGGATATGTTTCTAATGATTTTATTTTGTTAGGAAAATTGCTTCTTGACCTCAAGAGCTTATGCTCAAAGGTATCCAAAAATAGGAATCTTCCTGATAAGCGTTCCTTTGAAAAACTACATGCTCTATTTGAGAGCAGCTCAGAGTTACCAGAGCTGGTAATGTGGTTTATAAAAAACCTGTTAGAGGCAGAAACCTGTCGTTGGAAGTGAATAAAATGAATTTGCCGTAATTATCTCTTTTATAGAAATCGAAGAACTACTTCTTCGTTTTTCTTGATAGAATAATAAATACATATTTAATAAATATTATTTATTAAACTATTGTAGGTAAATTAAGTAAAAGTAAACTGGTATAAATTTAAATAAATACATAAACTAATTTCGATTTTGAAAATAGCTACTAACTGTCAACAAAAAACCTGCCATGATGACACTAGCTCTTTTGGTTGCGATTTTATTGAAAAATTGCTCTTTATTCAAAATCTGAGCTAGATAGGTATAGGAAACTCTAATATAGTTTGAAAGAGCATTTGAATCTGCTTCAATTTATTATAAAAATACAGGGTGTTGTATTTGAAATAACGAGGTTTTTATGTAAAATAAATCCTTAAATTAAATCAGCAATTTTTGATACCCCTGTATAAATTTAAGGAAGTAACACTTTCCAGTAAAGTTTATTTCTTTACCTTTAAACTCAGCACAAGAATTAATTCTGAAAAGTAATGTACAGGGTGTTAATAATCTATTCTATAGTAGCATGCAAATTTAAATATCTTTAAATATCTCAAAAACCAAAGATTTTAAACATATTTAATCCTTATAATAAATGCCTTTTTTGGGCCCACGAGTTCAAAAATGAAATAAAATACCGGGTGTTCCATAAGAAAAAATATAACTTTGGTATGGATCTTAGTTCTGAAACACCCTGTATATTTCAAAATAATTTTAAATTGTGCATATTGTCTCCCCACATATACCCATAAAATATTTTGTTTCTACACCTTTTCGTTTTCGTATAATCAACCGAGGCGAAGGAGGTGCGCCACCCTGTATACCCTCTCGTTGGACATATTATACACATCTTTAAAAAATAATAGTGATATTTGTGTTAAATATTTGACTTAATATTATGCTGTTAACTTTACTAGTTAAAACGTATTTTATTTCATTATGTTGTGTTTCAAAACTTGAGCAAAATATGGTGAAAAATCCCAGATTGTATTAAAAGGTCAAAATTAAAACAAATCTAATATACCAAATGATGGGAAAACGGTTTGAAACGACAATCGATGGCTTTCATTATATAATTTTATATATAAAATGGTATCGATCTTGATTTCCAAACCATTTTTGACACTGTATGATTATCGTGTTAATGAAAAATCTCTTAACTACCAACTGAAATACAAATTTGTCGTTAAAAAATTAAAGTATTTTTCAAATAAATGGGAAGAGCAAAAATAGCTTGCCTTGTTTTATTTTGAAAACAAAAAAGATATATTTTGTGAAAATTTATTCAAAACTTCCACAGAATAGTTTCGCTGGACATAAAAACCCTACTTATTAAATAGAGCCACACCTTGCTTAAATAATGTTTTCACTTACAAGAATAGATGAGTTATATCAGGTTTTAAATTCTTAGTAAAATAATATATCAATTTTTGTATATTAAAGATATATTTGTAAAAATAACTAGGTAACCCTGTTTATATTTTCTGTTTAAATTAATACTATAAAAATACTCGACTACTGTGAATTTATATGAATATTATATAAAATATTATAAGGATACTATAGAATCTCTAGATGCATTATTTATTAAGAGAAAAACATAAAGTTAAATAGGCTTTGCTTACCTCTCTACATTCTAATTAAGTCACCTTAAAAATTATAAACTTATCACTATTACTCACACCTGATTAATTTTATGTTTATTAATGAAGTAATACTTTTTAAGGCTAGAGTTTAATATAAAAAAAAATAAAAAAATATATAGATACGTACGTATCTATATATTTTATACATTTACTTTGATGGTAGTATACATACGGTGCTATAGCATTTTTTAATAAAAGTGGAATTGTTGTCAATAACAATTTACGATAAGATAAGAAACATGGCTGAAAAAGTGGGTTATTTATGCTTCTAGCTAGTTGTCTATTCTCAAATAGAGGTATTTTTAAATTCATGTTATTGTTGTTTCGGCTACTAGGAACTAAATGTTTAAGTTAAATTTAGTTAGAACTGTTCTGATGTTTTGGTAAGTGTCGTTAGTACGATAACAGGGAGCATTGTTTCGTTGTTACAAATAACTTGAATGGAAATGTTAAATATGCCTTAAGCAAACAAATAATAATAAATATGTGTATACATTCCCAGAAACAAATACAGTGGAGTTAATTTTCTTTCTGAATGTTGTTGATTTTTTTATTTTTATTTCATTTCCAACCTTTAGTGTACAGGGTGTCCCATTTGCGTGTGTCCTACAGAGTTTCTCGTTTATGAGTAGAGGTAAAAAGATGCGGCTTTCAGATTACGTGCTACTTTCTTTTATAAAACTAAAGATGCTATACACCGATTTGTCCTAGTCCTCTCAGTTCGTGAAATACAGGGCGAATTTAAAAATTTTGCATTTTTCGATCCCCTTCGAATCTCGATTTTAGTCGATAGAGTAAGTGGTTGCCGGAGGGAGTGTTGCCAGAACTATTAATTAATCCGTAGATTTACGGATTTTGGGTACAGTACGTTAATAATACGTATTTTGTATGTGTCCATTTGCGTGTGTCCTACAGAGTTTCTCGTTTATGAGTAGAGGTAAAAAGATACGGCTTTCAGATCACGTGCTACTTTCTTTTATAAAACTAAAGATGCTATACACCGATTTGTCCTAGTCCTCTCAGTTCGTGAAATACAGGGCGAATTTGAAAATTTTGCATTTTTCGATCCCCTTCGAATCTCGATTTTAGTCGATAGAGTAAGTGGTTGCCGGAGGGAGTGTTGCCAGAACTATTAATTAATCCGTAGATTTACGGATTTTGGGTACAGTACGTTAATAATACTTATTTTGTATGTGTCCATTTGCGTGTGTCCTACAGAGTTTCTCGTTTATGAGTAGAGGTAAAAAGATACGGCTTTCAGATCACGTGCTACTTTCTTTTATAAAACTAAAGATGCTATACACCGATTTGTCCTAGTCTTCTCAGTTCGTGAAATACAGGGCGAATTTGAAAATTTTGCATTTTTTGACCCCCTTCGAATCTCGATTTTAGTCGATAGAGTGAGTGATTGCCGGAGGGAGTGTTGCCAGAACTATTAATTAATCCGTAGATTTACGGATTTTGGGTACAGTACGTTAATAATACGGATTTTGTATCATTAAACAATTTAATATTATATGATTAAACAAAGAACGGGGTCAGAGTTGGCTTGGAAATGAAGATCGATGTTTTTTTTCATATGTAAAATATTATGGTAAATGTTAATAATCGTCATTTCCAAGCCAACTAAGCGACCTTTTTTTCGATGACACGACATATTATTTCGTACGTATAAAAGAATTTTTATTTTTGTTGTTTAAGTATTCTATGTTTAATAGGGAAGAAACTGAAAAGCTATGAAAAAATTGTCGCGAAAATTGTACATAATCATTATTAGGTACATACTTTATTTTTTTCACAATCTAATTTATTTTTTTTCGTCAATTCCCATTTATTTGCACTAAATTGTGATGCAGCTATCTTGTGAAACAGCTGACTGTGCTCCTTGATGTTTTCACAGTTGTGTGTATTTTATTTATGGTGTTTTTTATTAATAAATATACAGCAATAGATCGTTTTCTACGCCAAAAAGAAGTGAAATAAACCTATGTATATGCCAAAATGACAACTGGATGGAGACAAAAATAAACTTCTTCGTTCAAGTGACATTTTCAACATGTGTTTAAAAACACAAATATCCCTAGAATTAATTGCGAATTTCGCTATTATACGAACTACGTAAATAAAAGACGTTTTTATTTTGCAATATTCGCAATTCGCGTGTATATAAAGCTGCCTTTACACTATGCGTTTTTGCCGCATCACCGGTGTGGGCGCTCTCACAATTTAACGAAACGTAGCGCCGCGCCGGCACAGTATCTGTATTTACTGCAGCAGCAAAAACGCATAATGTAAACCCTACCACAAGATAGTGTATAAGTACGTGCCGGTGCCGTTAAAAACACACGCGTAGTGTAACACCGGGTTTACGCAAAGTTTTATAGTTTCTACAAAACATGAAATGTTTGTTATATAAGACTCACCTGCGTCATCTTATATTATTACCAGTAAACAAGTTATTAAAGGAAAAAAGAATAAATAATTAGATAGAAAAATTAATAAAAAAGGAACAAATTAATACCTGATTTCGTCTAATTTCAGCTTCCTGGCTTCGCGACGTAAGCGTTTCTATATCTTCTACAAAATTAAATGGTAGTTCGCCCATTGAGCCACTTCTTCTATGTTCTACTTTAACATTATTGGAAACTGGATTTGGAGTAACACTTCTGTAAAAAAAAACATAAAAATGTCAGAAATATTGAACAATATTCATAGTAATGATAAGTAATGGTTATTAAAAATTTGTATAAATGTTGTTAGATATCTATTAAGACTGTTGATTGTGCAGCTCTATCTAGGGTTGCCAACCATTCTCTATTCCAGAGGACACTCCTCTCTTTTTTTACATAACAAACTCAAAATCTAAAAAATATTCTATTGCCACAATGCTTTAAAAAATTGTTAATCTGTGTCTTTCGCTACTCCCATTCGTATGTGCAGAAAATAAAATGAAGAAATATTTATGGACAAAAAATATCGGTGAAAGCGGTAAACATGTTTAACTATTTTATGTTTACTTTAGTACATTATGTTAGTTTATGTTTTGAAAAAAAAATTGTTGAAAATTGTTTGTTTTATTTTAACAAGTTTTGAGTACAAATATTTTTAAGAAAGTAAGATAGAGATAGTGTAATAGATTATATTTAGCTTAGATATATATTATCTTTATTTCAGTAGTGTACATGAAAGTTTTTAAAATAATATTTTTTCTACACAAATTTTCCTACAAACGTAAAAACCGGCAACACTGTATGCCGCTTTTGATTTTGTCTCTCTATCTGTCAACTGGCCATTTATATTATTCTCTGTCTTACACGTTAAAATTCAGACAACACTTCTAAAATGACCAAATCAGTATATCTATCCGTTTAGTAACTGAAATTACATTTATTATATATCATTCATATTATAATATTATTTATCATTCTCGAAAATATGAAGAAAAAAAATTAAATTTATGGAATTACCGAATTCAAATTGTTGATAATAAAAAAAATCCTCCTAAAGACGATCCGGATATACTGTATGCGGTACCACATTTCTATTGTATTTCGATATACATAGTCTAACAAAAGCAGGGATGATTCAGCAAGGAAGATACGGTAGTATCTTTAAAACTAGGCATTTCCGCACCCATGTTTATAGATAGAAACTTTTTTTTATAACAAATCACCTCCCTGAAATTTGAACATGCATTTTTGTTTGGAACATCCTGTATAAAAATAAGATACAAACAAGTCATTATAAATTAAAATCTCTACACTTTTTATGTTTATAAAATATACTATAGGTATAATAACAACTATGTATAGCAAAGTTATTAGGTTATTAGTCATTTATGCACAGAGTTGTCTATTATTGAGTTTGACACTTTATCAAACTTAATCATAGATATGAACTTAATACCTCTATTATATACATTACCTGTAATACTGGGCAGGATTTCTATTAAAACTAGGACTAGGACAGTTAACTCTGTTAACGTTTACGTTTTTCGTTACTGGCTTATTGTTTAGGTCGTTGTGGTCGAAATTCACGTTGGGGTTCTTCGAGACTGATCCATTTTCATAAATTATAACTCGATTATTTATATTCTTTGTTTCGTTTACTGTAACGTTGACGTATTGAGGCTGCCGGCTCTTAGAAAATATGCTTTGACCTATAACAAATTACATTTTTATTTTAAACTCACCGGTAAGTAAGTATTGAGAGTAATAAATAATAGTTCTTCTTGTTCCTTGTATAGCGTATTCGTTGTATAGCACCTTAGAAGTGGTAAGGCAGAGTTTGTAATACTTTCTTATTATCTACATATCTTTATTTATAAGCGATACCAAATAAACTTTTATTTACGGCATCATTATTAAATTCATTGTTGCCAACTATGGAAATATTCGGCGCCGGGCTGAGTAACTGGAATTTAAATTTCCCGCTGGCAATTCAGGTGGTAGCTCTGCTGGAAAAAATGTCAAGTTGCCACATTTATTTACTTATTTCCTGATATTTTGATTTGGTTTTATGAATCGTGTTGCGATATTTTAAGCTTAATTTTTTTTAACCATCAGACCATCAGTCCTTTTACAATCAGATCTCGAAAATTGTTCTGTTTTGTCCGTTTTTAGTGCGAAGTGTACAAGATGCCGAAGCAGCTTAATAGCCGTTGTAAGAGACTCATCGCAACCTTATTAGAATATTTTTAACGGGGAAACTTTAGTAATGACCCCTATGACCCTTAAGTGCTATTAGAGCGGTGAGTTTCGTTGATGTAAACAATAACTATTTATATTTTTTTTATTATTTATATTTTTATAATGACTTCATTTTTGTTTCTTGAAATATTTTGATCAAAAGGAAATATGTAAAAGTCAGCAATGCTGCACACGTCAAGCTTAATCACGCGAGTAAAAGTTTATTTGGTATGACCATATTATAAGACGGACTCTCACGACTCGTCTACTTGGCAAGTACGCCAATATTTGCGTACTTGGCAAGTATCCCCACTTGTCCCCACTTTGTAAACAACATTGGCAAGTGTGGCGCTCACACGACGTGTTCATTTCAACATGTACGCCAGCACAAACATTGTTTAAATCCTTGGCAAGTAAACAGTATAGTCGCATCCATGGTCCGACCTTGTAGTTGCTAGTAATTTGTTGCTTTTTTGCAGTTTTTAATTTAGTTGCTTTTTAAGTTCTTTTACTGTACAGGGTGGCTCGAATTCGACGCTCATCATTGGGATTCCGGAAACCGTAAGAGATACAGGATTAGTTAAATGGAGACAAAGTTGCGCAATTTTATGCTCAATAAAATGCCGTATTGCATTTTGAAAAATTCCGAATACTTCAGAATATATTCGAAAAAAAAAACGGAATTTTCAATTTTGTTTTCTATTGTTTCTTGGCTTTATTTCTTAAGATAACTTAAAATGAAAAACACATTTTCATGGCCACTTTTTCTGCTCTATAACTCTGTGTGATTAAATATTGACTCTGACGTTTCGGCTTCTGGCGACCATCATCAACTTAATTTTTTTAAATACGGACCTAATTTTTTTTTCAATTTAATGCAATCCTTTCATCACTCTTAAAACACTATATATAGTCACTTTGATATTTGCCGACGTTTCGTACAGAAAATTCCATCACCAGAATATTTTATGCAAAAAAAAAATAAATAAAAATGCAATACGGCATTTTATTGAGGATCAAATTGCGCAACTTTGCCTCCATTTAACCGATCCTGTATCTCTTACGGTTTTCGAAATCCCAATGATGAGCGACGAATTTGAGCCACCCTGTACACTGCAATATGATTTCTATCTTCTTAATGTTAGACCATCCATATGAAGGGCTCATTTTCGTATAAATCCATAAATTCCAAAACAGCATCATTTGAAGACTACACGGGAGAAACCAGCTTTGTCCATTTTAATTGGAGCCGAGAAAAATGCAATTTAGTGCTTTTAAAGAAATATATTATTTTCGGTTGAATAATTAGAAAAATATATATTACTACCAATTCTGAATTATTAATATTGTTAATGATCGCCATAACAGGGGAAAAACCAGGGATGCCCATTTAAAGGTTGTTTGTATAAAACCTAAATCTATACTAATTTTAAAATTAATAAATTTAAAATTTTTTGTTGTAAGAAGAAAATTAATAAATATTTAAGTAGGTCTTTATTAGAATATAAAAATTTACTACATGTAATACTAATTGCAAGATGCATGCTTGTCGCCCATGCGTAAGGACATCTCTGGTTTTTGCCATTTACGCGTGGACTACTCTGGTTTTCCCTTGTACGGCAAAATAACCAAGCTGTAATATATCTGGAACTAAGCGTATTATTGCTTTCTGTTTTCTCGAATGACGTTAACATTTGTCTATAAAGTTGTATCGCTATCTTAATTTCTATGAAAATGCGACATATCTGGTTTTTTTTTCGTGTAGTCTTCATTTGTCCACTCCATTTATTGCTGTGGGAACGATTTAGGTATGTCGTCAATATTGAAGTTATTAATGTAAATTTGATATTATATAATCTATTGTTTTAACGTTTTAAATTATCCGCAATTAACCCGAAAAACACTACGATCCGGAAATAAACGAGACATACGCTATAACAGTACAATTAGTACTATTATTATTAACTAGTACGCAGTCGTTTTTTTGCGCCTCGGCAAGTATAGCCTGTGGTATAGCTAAGGGTGGCCAAAGTCTACACTTGGCAAGTATACGAATAATTGTGATCCTTTTGACTCGGGCTATGTTTGCCGACAGAGAGAGGGAACGCGACGAGTGACAAATAATTGCACAAGGAAATCATTCTCACGACATGGAGAGTATATTCCAATATCAAATAATTGTGAAGTAGGTACACGAGTCGTGAGAATGCGCCTATAGTTTGCCCAACAGAAGCATCTATGACAGTGCCAATTGTATCTATCATTTTAATTCACAGGTAAATGGTATTTTCTGTCATTTTTGGATGTTGTCTGTCGAAATCTTGTCTGACTCGTTGAACAGACTTTCCTCAGTTTTTTATACAGTACGTCCTGGGATCTTCTTTATAAGAGGAACATTTTTATTAGTAACATTTTGAGACTCAAATGTTACTAATACTAATAATTACTAATAATAAAAAAATATTTTCTGTTGTAAAAACTATCCGCGGACATACTGTATATTAGCCTACTTAATAAAAAAAAACAGATTTTACGTAGTTCTCCCCTCGCTATACCCAAAGGCACTAAATGCTAAACAAAATAATCCACTTCTATTATAATTTACCTGCAACTTTGTTTTGCTGTTTCTCGTTAGGGTGGAGTTCTACATAATTAATAGCGCTTTGTGGCAAGCTTTTCCTAAGGCTATCGATATCCTTTCCTAGAACGTCTTTAACTGGAACATTCACTGTAGGCATATTCGAAGTGAAGACTTTGGGAGAGTAAGATTTCTTCAGGTTCTGAGCGGCTAAATATTCGAATTTTGATACTTTCGTCATTATGCTAGAAGGCGGTTCGTCACCTGAAAAAAAGATAAATAAAATTGAATATAAAGAACTAATCGGTCAATATTATTTTTTATAAACGCAGGGTACGGTAAAAAAAACTTGGTAAGATATAATAATTCTCAAAAATTAAAATGATTAAGATTGAAAATGAAGGATTGACAATTTTAACAACAAATATAAAGAAGAAATACAAAATTAAATAAATCAAAAATAATAGAGTGGGGGTTTTATTTATTAAAACTTCTATTAAAACTGCTATGCTTCAATATGTATTTTCAAATTCAAGTGTGATCATTGGGATCTCGGAAACTATACGAAGGTTTCGAAATTTTGTGTCCACAATATATTCCAATGTATATGTAATAATATATAATTATTTTATTATAATAAATTAGTTTTATCGTGTATTTTAAATTAAGGACCCACGGAATCAATACGCAACAATATAATACTTTACTGCTACCTACTTTATAATAGAGACATCGTGACTTGGTCCAAGTACACTTTGACCGTGTTATCCCGCCTTAACAGTCTAAACTTTATACAAGGTCGCTTTTATGTATGGAAACGGTCGATTATTAGGTAAAATATAGGAGGTACCGCAAAAAGTTAAATTTAAAAGTTATAGGATTTTTAAATATCTATTAGCGAGTAATAAATTGAAATATACAGGATCGTTTATAAAGTCGTGGCACATCAAAGTTTCATTTTTTTAAATAGAACCCCCTGTATATTATTACATATTTCAATTTTTCCTTCATTCTAAGCAAAAATCGAAAGTCACACAATGTACCTCAAAGCAACCGTTTCCGAGTTATTGACTTTTGAAAATATCACTTAAACAATTCGATTTAATCCTTGTTTATATATTCTCAGGATTTAATTAATTTCGATGTGTTTGGTTTGATTTAATGATGCCAATCTGCCGAAACTGTGATACTGTTGTAATGGGTTTTTAAATTCCTATTAGCTGCTAGCAAATTTAAGTATACAGGGTCGGTCATAAAGTTGTGTCACATCAAACTTTTTTTTATAAAAAAAATGTCACATCAAACTATTTTTTTTAAATGTAACCCCCTGTATATTATTGCATATTTCAATTCTTCCTTCAATTTTAAGTAATAATCGTAATACACAATGTATATAAATTAAAGAATTGAAATGTTAAACGAAAAGTTTGTAATTTCCAGACTTGATATACTCTCATTTTATACCATAGATCTATAAATGCTAACTTGAGAAGTGATGTCAAATATTATTAGTATCACAGTTTCGGCAAAATGGCATCGTTAAATGAAACTGAACATATCGAAATTAATTAAATAAAACTGTTTAAGTGATATTTTCAAAAGTCAATAACTCGGAAACGGTTGGTTTGAGGTACATTGTGTGTATTTCGATTTTTGCTTAGAATTGAAGGATGAACCGAAATATGCAATAATATACAGGTTATATACAATATATACCATTAAAAAAAATGAAACTTTGACGTGCCACAGCTTTAGGACCGACCCTGTATACTTAAATTTATTACCCGCTAAAAGATATTTATAAACCCTATTACTTTTATATTTAATTTTTTGCGGTACCTCCTATATTTTACCTAATAATTGACCGTTTCCATACATGCGACCATTTCCATACACAGCGACCCTGTATACTGTATACTGTCTATGTGAATATGTTTAACTATTAATATATAACTTAGAACACACCAAGCTTTAGTAAAATATCGTCACGGAAAATATAGAAAAAATGTTTAAGGTTGGTTCTTACAGATGATATTAAATTAAAACTAATTCTGCTTAATAGGCATAATAAAAAAATATCCAGTATGGCCTTTTTCCATTTTACTAATATAAAACATTTTATACCCTCTTCTATACTAGTTAATAACATAAACTTCGGACTCCAGTCGTAAAAAAACACTAAAACACAGGCGTACAGCATATACATTTGCAAAATTGTATTGTTCCTACGGATAAAACAGAAATTGCTTGGTGGAGGAAAAAAAACTTATGCACGATCTAAAAATTTTGGACCACATAATAAAAACACTTTTTTGGTACGGCTGATGTCGATGATGGAAAGCTGGTCTCTGTGGAGCCGTCTCAGATACTGGCTTTTGTTAAAAGCCCCGAGACTGTATGATGGAGTTATAGCTCGGTATAACTGAAGAAAGGGGAACACACAGTAGATCTGTAAGGTCGCGGTGATTAGCTCCCCTCCTAAACATTCTACATTCTACAAAATACTTTTTATTTAGAGCTATTTATTTTTAATTATCGAGATTTACTCAAAAGAGAGAAACACAAATTAGAACTACAAACACAAATTAACAAACTAAATACAGCCAGCTATAAAGTAGGTTTTTGTAAAATGAATTTAACAAAAACTAAAGTGATGTACAACGAACTAGTACATTTTAATCAATAACATAAAACTGGAAAAGAAGAATACATATATTTGGGACAACTAATAAACAACTCGGGATCTTTACTACCAGAAATCAACCAAAGAATTAAGTTAGCATGGAGTACTTATGGAAGAAACTCAAAAACCATATTCAAATCTAGAATGCCACTTAATTTAAAGAAGAAAACGTTCGACCAATGTGTACTACCAGTCATGACCACTGCATCCGAAACCTGGACTCTTAAAACGAATATTATAAGAAAACTGCAGGTCGCTCAACGCTCAATGGAACGAAATATGCTGCGAATAACCAAGAAAGACCGTAAAATAATTAAGTGGACACGACAAAAGACCCCGGTAATAGATCATCCACAGAATCAAACCCCTCAAGTGGCAATGGGCAGGATACCTGGCAAGAAGAACGGACAACAGATGGACCACAAAAATTACAGCATGGTACTCATGAGGAATTAAGAGACCTAGAGGAAGACCAAACCTGAAATGATGATATTAGGAAATTAGCACAGCCAATAATAAACAATGGGCCTATATAGCCAATAATAAACAACTACAAAGAGTATCTAAACATGTGGGATAGGCAATACCATAGTTGGAAATGGTTCAATAAGTTGAAAATGGCGAAGATGATTTAAAAGAGACAAATTTTCGAACAAACATCTACATAATATATAATGTTAATGTTTATCTGTGTCGTCTCTACTGAAGTAACGACTTGCTCTAGAAAGTTGCTTTTTTTACTAAAAGATAGCTAATTGGCTCTTCTAAAAACTGTCGTCGCCGGATTTTTTGTTTTTCATTTTATAAAAAAAAAGTATTTTTTTCCTGATATCGTGGCAGATGCGCCAGGCTTCAACTAGTTTCTAATAAAAATTATTTTCCCATTGTATAACATTTACATAATATAAAATGATAATGTTTATCTGTGTCGTCTCTACTGAAGTAACGACTTGCTCTAGAAAGTTGCTTTTTTTACTAAAAGATAGCTAATTGGCTCTTCTAAAAACTGTCGTCGCCGGATTTTTTGTTTTTCATTTTATTAAAAAAAAATATTTTTTTCCTGATATCGTGGCGGATGCGCCAGGCTTCAACTAGTTTCTAATAAAAATTATTTTCCCATCGTTTGCAATTATTTTATTTGCTCATTACTAAAATAAGTAAAAAGTTACTAAAGTAAGTTTGAACTTGTCTTGCTCTTGTCAACTGGATTTGGTCCCTATATCTAAATATATAAAACATGCTCGGGTTTGTTACACCATTTATACCTGAAGAACGGCTGACCGATTTTAACAATCTGAATTATTGTATACGTCCCCGCCTCGAATAGCAGAATAACTATTAAGATATCGAAAAAATTCACAAAGGATTATACAAAAAAATAATTTTTAAACAAATTAGGTTTAGAACTCCGCGATCTTCGGCAATAGACAGCTCACGTGACGCACGCTTAGAGCTTATTTCTAATAACTGATTTCCACTGCTAATGAGTTGCAAATCAGTGACATACTAGAGATTACAGAATATAAATTCATGGAAAATAGCATATACAACTTGAATCGAAAAATATAACTGAAAAATAATACTTGAATCGAAATGTAAACAAAAAGGTAGAAAACAAAATTTGTTTTCTACCTTTTTGTCATTTAATGACAAGAATTGTCAAATTGATTGGTCTCAATCATTCCAGATCACTCGGTCAGTAAGTAATCCGTACCACAAGATTTAGGCGGTACGAAGTTATTGCCGGATTAGTTAGTTTTCTATAAACCAAATAATATTATACTCTCTAGAAGTCTCCTCTCGCATCAAAAATCGGGTCCGTCAATAGGGCAGCCCTATACCGGGTGTGTCTCAAAAGAGGCTCACCCCTATAACTTTTTTATTTTTTTAAATAAAAAAACGAGATTTGGTATCTTTGATAACTTTTGATTTTTAAATGGAACCCTTGGTATTTATTCCATAGCAAATGACATTCTGAATAGAATGACATATCATATGACAACTTTTGACATTTTCGCTTAAAAAGAAATCGTATTTTAAATTTCAATCTAGAGTGCCATGGATGTGTTAAAAAAACACTAATTTTTAATCAAGGAGCCTTGGAAAAATAGATTTGATCGTCTAATGTTTTTAGTGTCTTGCCCTGGCCGGTTAAAAGATGCCCAAATCGTATTTTTGATCATATCTCAATTTTTTTCAAATGAAACGAGGGTGGATAATTAGCATATTTCGAAAATTTTTTTACGAATAATTTGATACCACACACTTGGTACTTTGAGTCAAATTGTCGTTATGAACCGCATGTTACAATTTCAAATAAACCATATGCGAAAATGTCAAAAGTTGACATGTGATATGTCATTCTATTCAGAGTGTCATTTTCTACCGAATAATGGGTGCGATTTAAAAATCAAAACTTGTAGTCATTTCCGGTGAAACAGGAAGTAACTAAAACAATTGAATATGTCAATCAATCCTAATTAATGTCTTATACTAACATACCAAATCCCATTTTTTTATATGAAAAAATAAAAAGTTATAGGAGTGAGCCACTTTTAAAACGCACCCGGTATACAGACCTGATTTTGATGCGAGACGAGACTTCCAGAGAGTGTACTATGTTTTGCATAAACTTATATTATTATTTGTCAATTCCAAACCTAAACACAACGAGTTTTTACTGCACAGAAAATTTTTATCTGTTCTTTTAAGCCTTCATTAACAATTAACTCCAATAAAACTTTCCTGCGCACAAAAATAAAATGCCTGTTTTATATTTCAGAATCGACGATTTCCCGTAAGCTTATATTGTTATTTGCCTATTCCTAAAATATAAACTACCGTTTTTATTTTATTTATGCTGTCCCGAATAATTTCCGAAACGACTGGATCGATTTTTGGAAGCATTTTACATTGATATATTTAATGCTATTATTGCTGTTTTTTTGTTGCTTGATAGTCGACCCGTCCGAGTATAGATGTGTTATTGTCATATGCATTATCTTATAACATAAAAAGTGAAGGGTTCTTGCAGTATCAATGTAATATTTAAAATAAAAATATTTCTTGCCATAAAACGACTATTTTGTAATTTTCAGCTTTCAAAAATACTGAAAACCTTTTTTTATTCAGTTTTTCATTATTTTTGAAAGCTGAAATTTTACAAAAAGTGGTTATATGGCAAGAAATATTTTTATTTTTAAAATTATTTTATAACTATATCAGATGTGTTTCAAAAGTGGCACCACTATAACTCTTTCATATTTTTAGATAACAAAAAACACGCATTTAGTACGGATGTCTATGACCATAAATGGTACCCCTCGGTATATTTTTACTTTATTTGATAGAAAATGACATTCTGAATAGAATGACATATCAAATTTTGACATGTAAAAAAATAGCATTTTAAATTTCAATCTAAAGTGCCATGGATGTGATAAAACCACTGAATTTTAAAGAAGTAGCCTTGGAAAAATAAATTTGATCGTCTAATGTTTGTATATAGTGACTTTTCTTGGCCGGTTAAAAATGTTTTCGAATCTGCCAGAAAGCACTCTGAATCACCTAACAACTTTCATAAACATGTCATTCCAAAATGGTAATTTTCCAAAATGTCTTAAGACGGCAATAATCATTCCTCTGCATAAAGGAGGAGACAAAGATGAAACTTCTAACTATCGCCCAATTGCACTCCTTCCAACGCTATCTAAGATCATAGAAAGGTTGGTTAAAGGAAGGCTTGTATCTTTTCTGTTTAAGTACAAAATACTTACTGAACATCAGTTTGGATTTCTAAGCAACAAGTCCACAAATGACGCTATGTTTTCCCTCCTTAATAAAGTTTACTCCAGCCTAAATAACCATCATTCTACAGCAACAATTTTTTGTGATTTTTCTAAGGCGTTCGACTGTGTAAATCATAAGATCCTAATTAATAAACTGCAGCACTATGGGTTTAGAGGAACATCTCTCGAATGGTTTAAGTCGTTTCTGAGTAACAGAAGTTAACTTGTGAGGGTGGATACCACGTTGTCTTCTAGAATGAGGAGTACCACAAGGCTCAGTGTTGGGCCCCATTTTGTTTCTACTTTTTATTAACGACATTGCTAACATAAATATCAGTGGCAAAATATGTCTTTTTGCCGACGACACTAGCTCCACTTGGAGCAACAAGGACGTCACGGCACTTCATAGGATTATATCAAATGACATAATCACCATTAAATCTTGGTGCGATTCGAACCTCCGAGTCTCAACATTTCTAAAACTAAAGCTTTGTTGTATAAAAACTCGCTGCAGCCTTTTGTACTTAACAACACCACCATTGACGTCGTAAAATCTGTAAAATTCTTAGGGCTTATTGTAGACAATTCTCCGAAATGGGACATGCATATCGAAACTTTGTCGAAAAAATTGAGCTCTGCCTGTTTTGCGTTAAGATCTGTTTCTAAGGAGCTTGACTTGTCAGTGGCTAGAACTGTTTATTATGCACTTTTTGAGTCCCCCCTCAGGTATGCCCTTCCATTCTGGGGTACGTGTTGTGCGACTCAATTTGACCGCATTTTCAAGCTCCAGAAGAGAGCTGTTCGATATTCACTGGGACTAAACAGCAGAACTCATTGCCAGGACTTTTTTTAAAAAATTAAAAATATTAACTCTTCCTTCCTTATTTATATTTGAATCCGTTTGCCTAATACGTAAGCATGTATCAGCTTCTCAAGAAAGGCCATCTCACACTTATCCACTCAGGAACGCGGAGCAAGATCTGTATCTACCTATCCCACGCTCAGAGTTAATTAAAAGTTCAATATTATACAACTCGAAAAAAATGCACAATCACCTGCCATTTGAAATCAAATCCATAACATCATTTTCTTCATTTCGCAAAGCATTGAACTCTTATTTACTAGACAAGGCTTTCTACGCCGTGAATGAATTATATTTTGATAATCAAATTTGATCTTGTAAACACTGGTCTAATGTTTGCTATTGCTATATTTACCAATGACACCGAAATAAATTTATTATATAATGGAAAATAAATTTATTTAGAGGTCATTGATATTTTTACTATAATCTAAATATTTTTGAATATTATTTTTATTTTTTTTATTCTTTGACATTGTGAACATTTATATAAATGTTTATTTTAAACAATAAGACTGACAATATTATTTGTATAATGTTTTGTAGTATCTTTTGTTTGTTTGTTTGTGTACCTTGTTTGTTTACTTTGTTTGTTTATTTTACCTTTGTCTACAAATTGTAAAAAATTTTTGACAATAAAGGCATTTATTTATTTATTTATTTAAAAATTGCCCAAGCCACGATGACAAAGAAATGTAGTGAGATAAAATAACAAAATAACTAAATACTAGAGGGACCATTTTACGAAAAGAAAAGCGGCCGTTGCGTCGGAGTTGGAAAATATTTATACTAAAATTTATGTAGGGGTGGGGGTAGTTTTCACCTTTCCCGTACTTTTTCTTGAATCTTGTGAAAGTCAAATGTTAGAGCAGTTAGCAAAACATAGACACCCAAAATCTCATTCAAATCGGAATAACGGTTCTTAAAATATCTAAAAAAATGTGATTATTTTTTTAATGTTTGACGCCTCTAGCGGACAAACGAAGCACTTCTGTATAGAGGTACATTCTGTCCAGTGAAGTTATTTTGATTCCAAAAATACGTAGTAAGTCACGGAATATTGGGACACCCTGTATTTCAAAAACGGTAAGATTAGAGTGCGGTAAACCCTAATCAAATTTACCTTTATATTTAATCGTAGCAACTAAAAATGTAATAATATACAGGGTGTTCCATTTAAAAATACAACTTTTATTTTGTATGTATGTAGCTTTGGAAAATAATTTTAAATTGTAGCTTTACTCCAACAATCCTATATCACTCACAAAATCTAAATTAATCGTCAAATCTAGAATAGTGTGAACAAACCTGTATAATATTATGATTGTAAACAAATGGTATTTTATGAATGGAGTGTTGTATCTCGCTTTTAGTTACAAATATTTAAATATGATGATGTGGTGACCACTGAGATTCCCACGCAACCAGACCGATTACTTTGATTTTACGTTGGTAAATATAACATGCAATAAAACCTTTTCTTTTACAAAAATATAGAGCCCGTAAACCTTTCATTCTAGTTTAATGATGTGTCTAGACGTTACAGACCTCGTTCAACGTTTTTTAAACACCACAAACCGTAATAAAAGTGGATTTCTTACTTCCGCTGTCCGACAGCGACTCTCTCGGACTCTTCCTGGGCGCCACCGGCGGTTTTTTATTGAACTTGACTTGACAGCTGACGTCGGCCGGTTCGAACGTGATCGGCGCCATCGAGATTCGTGGATTGGGCAGGACAGATTTCATGAGTTTGGCTTCGGCGGGATGGTTGAATCGCATGTAGTTCGATCGACCAATCGTTATCATAACACCTAGGGCAAATATAAAAATTAATTACAAATAACCTAATATTTCCAATAATAGTATCGTGTTATAAAAAAACCGGTGTTTAGTTGGCTTGGAAATGACGATCGCTAATATTCGCCATATTATTTTATATACAGGTTGTTAACTGGACAGTTACTTATAGGAGAACAGAATGGCAACACTGCCTATTGAGAACGCATGCACTTATAGACGGTGCTTATAGGGTTTCCTGCCGACTTGTCCCGTAGCTTCGTCTATCGACGAGCGGGCCGAGGTTGTCATATTTCAACCGTAAAGCTCTTGAAGCGAGTAATAAACAAATTAACAACCTGTATAAAATGACAGCGATCTTCGTTTCATAGCCATCGCTAACGCCGTTTTTTTTCGATTATATACATATTTTTATTGTTCTATTAGAAGTAAAAATGATACTTTATTAGTTCTATTAGGAGTAAAAATGATACTTACGCGAAATGAGGCTGTACGTTTGACAGACAAGCGTAAATGAGTCCGATATTACAGGCGAAGCACAAATAGTCATTTTTACTCCAAACAGAACATCCTATTTTTTCTCAAACGTCATAAAAGTATTAGTTTTTGCGACGTGATTGACAATATAAACGAGCCATTTTAACGAATATGCATAAAAGTAAATCACTTTTACGCCTTAGCATAAAAGTACGGAAATAACTGACAAAAACAGTCAAATTCAACGAGCGTAACCATAGTTTCTCGATATACCGGGTGCGTCTCAAAAGTGGCTCACCCCCAAAACTTTTTTATTTTTTCAGTTAAAAAAACGAAATTTGGTATGTTAGTAAAGAACATAAATAAGGATTGACAGACGTATTCAATTGTTTTTGGACACTTCCTGTTTTACCGGAAATGACTACAACTTTTGTTTTTTAAATGGCACCCTCGGATATTTTTACTTTATTCGATAGAAAATGATACTCTGAATAGAATGACATCTCATATGTCAACTTTTGAAATTTTTGCCTAAAAAAAATCATATTTGAAATTTCAATCTACAGTATGTCTCCGGATTGTCTTTACAAGAGGAAAAACTTTATTATTGACATTTTGAGAAAAATGCATTCTTCATAAAAAAATTTGCTTGTTCTAAAATGGCCACTCCCGTTTAAACTTTTCGAAATTTCCATACTGTTTTAGACAAAATTAGAAAAAACATGAATAAATTCAACAATATTTTGATATATGTAAAATCAAAACGCGTTTCTATGGTAATATCATTTCTTTTTCATTCTTTGATAGGTTTTATCTATGGATAGATTGTTGTGGATAAAATTTTAATTAACGTAGTGACTCATTATCATATTTGGAAAAAGCATTTTTTATGAATAATTTGGTACCACACACTTGGTATTTCGAGTCAAATTATCGTTATAAACCGTATGTTACAATTTCAAATAAACTATATATGTGAAAATATCAAAAGTTGACATATGATATGTCATTCAATTCAGAGTGTCATATTCTATCGAGTAAATTAAAAAAGTACCGAGGGTGTCATTAAAAAATCAAAAGTTGTCATTTACGGTGAAACAAGAAGTGACGAAAAACAATCGAATACGTCAATCAATCCTAATTTACGTCATATACTATTATATATATATTATCTGAAAAAAATAAAAAAGTTATAGGGGTGAGCCACTTTTGAGACGCATTCGGTATATCTATGTACAGCTCATCAAACATAGAATGAGATGAAAAATATCAAAAACAATGTCTAAAAAAATTAAGACTTATTACCTTGCGATAATCTAGTAGGCTCATTGATCTTGACCCCATCTATAGAGAGATTCTCGGATAACGGATAAATAGTAACTACGCCCTCGCTGTTTTCGATGTGACAATGCAGAGGCAACACGCCGGTTCCTTGAACAGGGATGTCCACCCCTGGACCGCTACCTAAGGTCACCCTACCTGAAAAAAATTGAGTGATAATCCTCGCATTATTGTAACAATCGCTATTTAGTTTTTCTTTGTTACAGTGCACAGTGCACACATGTTGGGAAAAGTATTGAAAAAATCATTGCAGTATTACTTCATAAGATATTTGACCATTTACAAAGTTAATTACAATAAAGCTTCATTCAATATTAAAAGAACTTTCTATTCTTTCCAAAATTCCTATTTTCAAACTTCTAAATCCGTAATGGAGTATTAAATAGGGTAGATTTCGAAAAATCTATTTCTCTAATTATTGTTCTGTTTTTTAAGTAAAAATATAGTACCAACTAGCGTACCCGACTTCGTTCGCGTCGAATTAATCATTTGTAATGGTGATGATAAAGCAAAGCAAGAATTTCCATTAACATACAAACTGGATAAAATTTTCTAACATTTATGTCAGCATGAGAGGAAACAATCGAGAAACCCCTTCTTATCGAACCTCTACACCCCACAGTCAATTCGTTTAGCAAAAAATCAGCTTTAAACGTCAAGCAGTTTAAGCAGAATCGTGATTACTCAATGGTCATATTTTGTGAAACACCCTGTATAAATTTTTAAAAAATCTTAAAATATGTAAAACAACAAAATAAAATATACGTGTTTAAGAGTTTTTCCGAAAAACTCACCAGTTTTTAAATAAAAATATTCTAATATTTGAGGGGTGGTTTCACCCCCTTAGAATTCGAGTTTCGAAAAATTCCTTCTTATCGAGCGTCTACACCCTAAAGTCAATTCGTTTTACAAAAATCAGCTTTTTATGTCAAGCGCTTTAAGCAGGATCGTGATTAATCATGATGTGTGATGACCAGATTTTTCGGAACATCCTGTATACATTTTTAAAAAATCTTAAAATATGTAAAAAAACAAAATAAAATATACGTGTTTAAGCGTTTTTTCGGAAACTTGGCCGTTTTTTAAATAAAAAATATTGTAATATTTGAGGGGTGGTTTCACCCCCTTGGAACTGGAATTTCGAAAATTCCCTTCTTATCGGACCTCTACACCCTAGAATCAACCTGTATGCCAAAATTGAGCTTCTTACGTTGAGTGGTTTGAGCAGGATCGTGATTAATCAGTGAGTCAGTCACTTAAGGATTTTATATATTAGCAAATATTAGTCTAGTAAGTGACTTTAATTATGATAAATAGCATATAATAGCGAGTCGTAGTTTTTAAATTTGGTTTATTATGATGAAAAGTTTACTTCTAAGTAAAAGCTTCTATTTTTTTTGTCTTCTGTTTTATTTTAGCTCATTAGTGCCTAAAAGAGACATGTTTATTTTAAAGTCCCATTAGTCATTCAAAAGGTGACATGCACCATGCATGCACCAGACCGTATACAGTAAAAGTGCAGTAAAAATATACCTTTGTAAAAAATAGTCTGCTGGTTCCCTATCTAATTGTTAATAGTGTCAATATTTTGGAATCTTGGTGGTAAGGTAAAAATTAATGTCGTCCTGCAAATCCTTTCTTTTAATTCATCTGATTACCGGCAAAATAAACCAGAGTTTCACTCCAGAAAGTCCCTATTAGTCATATCAGAGTTGACGTGACCCGAGTTATATCGCGCCACTGACTGACTCATCGTCAGGGTTGTTACTGTTTTTCAAAGGGTAGTATTAGGTAAGAAATTAGGCAATATCTATAGACCTCAACCATCATAGAGGAAAGTAACCAAATATTGAATAGTATCCCTAAAGGTCGATTTTCACTATACCTTCCGTTTCCCTTCCGTTTACATAAAATATTATATCATGTAATGAATAGGAAAATGCACACTATCCGTTCCGTTTCCCTTCCGTTCCATATCTTTTCCTTCCATACATTTATGTATTTACCGTGCATTGATTACATGTTTGTTTGAAGGTTTTAGAGGCCTTTTCGTGGCTGAATGTGTTTTGGAGTTGTTTGGATATGAAAAAAAAAATGGAAATTTTGTTTTGAAGTGCCATTCAAATTTGTTCAACATGTTCTATTTATGACAGCGCTCTCCATTATAGTCAATTATAGTGGACAGTAAACTGCAGAAGAGAGAATTGGGCATTAGATACAGATACGACGGCGCGCGGCGGTCTGTTTAAAGGTACGGTTTCGCTGGAGCCGTCAACGGCGACCGTCGACGGTTGTCGTCGACGGCAACCGTTGAACGCCATCTTATTATGTATTCTTTGGCCAGGCGACGGTAGACGCCAACAGTCGCGCTTTCGATCCGGTTAGTGATCATCATGAAGAGAAAACTATTAGCCCTTTTGCTTTTAGAAGAGGAAGAAGACGAAGAAATTATAAAATATTTGAAAATGAGAAAAAGGTCGACAACTCATAATATTTTTCTTAGAAGACGTAACGAAGAAAGTTTCAGTTTACTAATTAGTGAACATTTGATAGGCGATGAGAAGAAGTTCAGAGAATTTCTTCGATTAAACAAGGATCAATTTTACTTTGTGCTCAGTATAGTGGAAAATGATTTAAAGAAGGCGTCAACTACTGCAGTTAAAAACCCCATCGGCGCATTCAGACTGGTATATCAAGCAGTCAGGCGCTGTCGGCAGCGCCGGGAAAGAACGGCGGAGGCGATGATACGCGCTCAGGAAACCATGCCTATTGAAACCAAATACGATTGAAACCAATGAATTGCAGTAGGCGCCGTCAAGGGCGACCGTGGACGGCGACCGTTGACGGCTCCAGCAAAACCGTACCTTAACATAAAAAGTCTCAGGGCAAAAAGGCGTTTAAAATTCATCACAGAACTTCAATACGCTGACACACGCTGATGACTGCCCTCTAGTTGCAAAAACGTTACAGCAATTACAAGAAATGTTGAACACATATACCATACGAGGCTTTAGGCCTTAAGCTGAACATCGATAAAACTAAAATCATGTGCACTCCCCCGGAACATCACAATAATGGTATTAAACTTGGAGACGAACTATTGCAATATGTAGCGGAATTCAATTACCTCGGCAGTTTGATTTCGCAAAAGGCCAATATCGACTTTAAAATTCAGCACAGGATTAGCAGCGCCTCAAGAGCATTCTGGACATTAAAAGACAGGGTTTTCTACAATCATGACTAGAGCACAAAAACGAAACTTGCAGTGTACAGAGCAATACTAAACCCCACCATGTTATATGGAAGCGAAACCTTGGTGCCGTACCGCCGACACATGAACGCATCGGTTGCAACAGACAGGGCCGGACTTAACGAAGTTGCCACCCCAGGCCAAAAAAAATTGCCGCCCCTTAACATTTTTTTTAATTAAAAAAATTACGGATATAAAAAAAAATTGAATACAGGACCAACAATAGAATAGACCGACAGAACAGATCAACACAGAACATAAAATAAATATTAAAATATTCATATAAAATGACAACAGACGAACAACAAAACTATAAGGTTTGCTTATATGCCTATAAAGGTTTCCTACGTACTTTTTTGTTCGCAAAATTATCAATTACTTCATCGTAATTCATAGTTTTTAAAAGGTCGGACTCAATATGTAAAACTGCCAAATGATTTAGACGTTCTGTTTCCATAGTGGGCCGTAAATAAGTTTTAATACGTTTCAATGCAGAAAACGAGCGTTCAGCAGAACAGTTAGTAATAAAAGTACATGTGAAGATTCTTAATACTGTGAAAGTATATGGAAACAGTCTTGAGCGTTTTTTTTCATAAATTACTTTAAGAAGCTCTCTAGCAGGTGGTTTTGCTGACTTAATGCATTTTATAAATTCACGAAAATGTATTAATTTTGGATAACAGGATAACAGGAATCATTTGGATAACAGGTTATTAAATGTCTGGACTTATCGGTAATGTCGTCAATACTTAAAGTAGATAAATCACTAAAGAAACCAAATTTGGTTGAAAAGTCATTGTAGGCACTTTTCTTGTAGGAAAAATTTCAAGGATTAATTTATCAGTAATAACATTAAATACATTTATCCTAAAATCGTCCCTAGCGTTAAATAGAGTTTCATTATCACTGGTTTCATCAAATTGTCGTTTCCGTTTCGCTTTTCTCTTTTTATCTGCCGCATATTGTTTCTCACCGAACAATTCTATGGCTCTTCATTCATATTCCTCAAATGATTTAGTATTATCTAGATTTCTAATTTCAGAAAAATATTTTTCCAATGAGCTATATAAATCTGCAGCATCTAATCTATTTAAAACGTCTGTCCAAAATACCGCCATAAAACCCATTTCTAGGCTTTTGAATTGTTTAACGAGACTAGAAGCATCTAATTCGGGTTTTAGGCTTTTCGGTATCGTCTTCAGAAATTGACTCCAACGTGGATTTTATTTCATTGGAAGACAATAGTGATTGGCAAGCTTCATTTCGTGCAGACCAACGCGTTTTTGATAATTTTTTTAACGTTTTTGAATTTATTTTTTTTATATTCGAGGTATTTGTATTTATTAACTGGATGCATGGCACAATGCAGTAAAAAATAACCCAAGCGAATTATATATTTAAACAATAATAATAGTTAAGTAAATAAATATGTAATCGGCTAAGGCTATATTCGAAATATTTTATGAACAAATAAAAGTTAAAAAAAAAAATAAATATTTTGGTATGCTCAAAATTTGCCGCCCCAGGCCCGGGCCTAGTTGGCCTAGGCCTAAGTCCGACACTGGCAACAGAGACACCTAAGACAACTCTTAAGAACCATTTGATTCCATGATGTCTCAAACGTATCGGTCCTTGAAAAAGCTAACTGCGAGAGTATTGAAGACAAAATCCCGCTTAAGATGGGCTGATCAAAATCTCTGCTTTACAGTGAGCTTGTAGATGGTAAGAGGAGACCGGGTGGACAACTCAAAAGGTACAAGGATATTTACCACAAAAATTAAAGAGGATTAACATGTAGAATGAGTGGAAAGAAGCAGCTCACAATAGAACGCAATGGAGAAGAATAGTAAACTCAGTTAACAGCGATAACCAAAAAATAAAGAGGCAA